GCAAAAACCAGGTGTAACTTGACTTTTGGGCATCAGTGTATATCACGATACACAACAATACACTAAACTAACCAACACCGAATACCTGATTCACACATCACTACACATAACATATTACTCACAACTAACGCCGGACATAGCAACACACAAGACATTCCACATACATAGAAACACAAAACAAAGTACGTGTTTCGGATACGATCACTGCCTCACTTACTAATCTCGGAAATCTTGCCACATCCTTGATAAGTCTGGCCTTATCTAAATAGTTATGGCAGAGCTTGACTGTATCTTCTTGCCAGACTTCTTCTGGTCTCCAACCGAATTGAAGCCTATATGCTTCCTTAAAAGTGCCGCCAACACCAGAAACCCTGATGACACTAATAATTCACCAACACCCGCTTTATTAATGACACACCTTTATTAAACTTGCACATCCTTATATACAGAATTATATTTACAAATATGTAAATCTTCTGGCTGAATAAGCAAAAAAAAAAAAAGAGAAATGTACATAACCGGCGTCTCCAGCACGGTTTATTATTATTTAATATAAATTCAAAGCGATATTGTAGCTTTTTGGTAGCATTGATACTCTTCTTATTTTTTAAAGTTCGATTTATATTATTGTATATAATGTCCCCAAAGAAACGTCGAGAATATATAACTCACTGTTTATATAACCAACAATAACACAAAGTACTTTGTGTAGAAAATTATAATTTTGTCTCATAAAACTCACCCAAATACAGCAAACAAACAGACAAATTCAACTTGGAATATACAATTGAAATGTTAACAAATAATCACCATCGTAAGTCTCAAAATTTTCTATTTGAAGCAAAGTTAAAAGAAATCATTAAACGAAGAAGACACTATATTCTTCAGCTTACTTACTATAGAAATTCGACTTTGGAAAATAAACACTGTCACAGATTATAATTTGAGTGCAATATTTTGCTAGTAAATACAGTTAAACCTGTCTATAGTGCTCCCTCTAAATAGCGCCTTCCTCTCTATAGCGCCCGATTTTAAACATTAAAATGTAAACATTTAACATTAAACGTGACCTGTCTATAGCACCCCCTCTCTATAGCACCCTATTTTGGTAAGTCCCAAGAGGGAGCGCTATAGACAAGTTTAACTGTATTTACTCTATTGTTTCCTTAATTGGATAAAACTGGTCACGCCATCTATAGTGAAAAGTATAAACTAATTATAAATGTAATTTAAACTAATATCAATAATGGATTAGATAAATTCTATGTATGCACCAGAGTATTTTATTGAAATAAAATAAATTTGAAATATTAAAAAAAATCTAGCAGAACCTTTATCAAAGACGTAAAATCATCCACCATTCCTATTAATTTACCAGAATCTAGTAGCTAATAGGTTATAATCTGAAACTTATTTATACAGTAAATAAAGTATAAGATATAATAAAGATATTTGATTATTCTGTGAAAGCTCTTAGAAAATTCGAAACTATCATAGACGCGTATGATTATTTTTGAAATTAAACAATTTCTACTGTCTTTACTGCAATCTACTCAGGCGTACAGACTTCGATCTAGGTAGCCCACTATCCAATGGTACCCTTGTCACTTCATCAGCTTGAGCACATTTTTGGCCAATTCGACCGATTTCATATATTTCCTCATAGGATGCTATGAAATCGAATTGTGAATGATGGTGATTGATCATCATGAGGATATAGTTGCAACTTAACAGTGA